TCAGCTTTGCAGGGTAAGACAGAATCAGTGAGGTCCCATCTTGTCTTGATGGGTACCATCATCAAAGCTATCAGCTAATATGTGACTGCAGTGTCTTTACTAACAGAGATGTCAAGAAGCAGAAAGAGCAAAGCTTTCAGATTCTGCACTGGGCTTGCAGCATTGACAGTTGGAAAGTTCCGCATTTTACTTGCACCATAGATTGAGCATATCTTGGTTTTGGAGTTGACAAAAAAATAAAGCTCCTTTCGGTCTATTAGTTGCTGCTGTTCATTTATACACATTTGATGCCAGGTTAAGTCTGTCAAATTATTCCTGATTTACATTGGTGAAACTGAGATTAGAATTAAGCTAAGTTGAAATATAGGAAGTATTCTCTCATGAACTGACATATGATCAGGAGCAGTCAATGTGAAGGTGGGAATAATGAAGTGGTAAGATATGACAGGTAGTGTGTTACTGGGTGATTATAGCACGTTGTTGGGTGCTTCTGAGGCACCCAGTTGAAAGCTGAATATCTTGAATTACTTGAGAAGTTCAGCTCACTATTCCATTGTTACTTTTCCAGCAAGAATGGAGGAAGTTTGCTTTTGAAAGTTCGCTTCTCAAACAATTGAAAGAATTATGAAATTCTAGTATTTTTATTAGTTTAAACAAGGGAAATTGAGATGCTTCACAGTATGCTGATTTTTCCTTATTCCTTTATGATATTGTTTAGTTCTCATGTTATCATGAAAAAAAGTGTTCAGGGTCATTGTTCCTTTTCATTTCAATAAACTCAATTCAGGGATTCTGTACTGAGGAACGGAGTGATGTGGAGCACTGACTACCTACAGAGGGGAACCAGCTTGCAAGTAGAGGAGGTCCAGAATATCACCACTTTACTCACATGCTGCTTTTTTCAGTTTGCTCAGGAATGCAGTCTGCCAAGGTGCTAGTTTCACCTTTTGGGGTGAAACTAGCCATTACACAGATGTCCAGAATAAGATCGCTGCAACTCTATGTCCTAAATGATTTATGTAGTTCAAAAGCTTTATGTTAACTCATCGCATTAGGATTGTTTTTGCTGTTTCAGAGCACCGGTTCTCATGTTGCCAGTAGCAAATTTTCTAAGGCACAGTGGGTAGAATCCCATTGTGGAAGGCAGCAGTCTTACAGTGCATCTGCCAGTATCCTACCTCATGTTAGCAGCACTGGCTAGGGCAAGAGTTTGCCCTTCAAAATAAGGGGATAGAAATTAGGTTCAGACTGGGAATTGTTCTCAGCCTTAGCACTGAGAACACTGAAAGTCCATCAGAAAGCTTTATGCTTTTGTCCAGCCTCCAGTAGCTCTTTCATGCTTCACTAATATGTTTTCACCCCATAAACTAACACCATTAGCCTTATGTATGTATGCATTTGCTTTCACTTTGATCAGTCTCAAATTCCTTTCCATTTCCATCCAATACACATACAGGCTCCTTCTTTTTTTCCCCCATAGCAATTAAAAAAAGAAAAGGAAAATTACTTAACTGTTAGTCACCTTGGATGCATATCATTAGCACAGTGCACACTTTAAATCCAGGCTTGTAATTAAACCCCAATTTACCAACACTCTGCCACACCGTATTAATTTATCCCGTTTGTTTATTAGTTTTGCCACTTAGTTTCTTTGATGACATTATTTTATTTATTTTAATCTGACCCATTTTTTTCAGCACTAATTTCCTCCCCCCCCACTTCCTCAAAACACCATATTTATATTGACACTTTATTAGAGAAAATTGCAACCTCTTGCGAAGATGGAGCAATTACCTCTTGTATTCTCAGAGTACATTAAATTAATTTTAGAACATAATTGAAACCAAGGCAGAGGGCTCATTAACGGTTCCTTATCTCCTGATATTTGGTTCCTCTCTCATTTCAGTCTGAGTTCTTGTAAAAAAAAATGCAATTTTAATCATTAAATGATACATTTTTATTTTTATTTTCCTTTATCTTTTCTTGTGCATGCTTCTCAGGAATGGCTTTCCCTGTTCTTATCAGATTAGATAGGCAACAGGTGACCACACAATACCCACCCAGCCTGTTGAGCACAGGTGATTATCAGTTCAGGGAAAGGAAAGTCATGAAATTTCAAGCAGCTGAACAGCTTTTTTATCTTGTTTCATAATTTTGCCTCTGTGGGAAAGTTATTTTGAAGTTACTCTGAAAGTTTTCTCTTCTATATTGTTTTTTTGTGCTGATAGTGAATTTAACCCTGAGTAGAGGAGCCAACACAAGGCTCCAGGAAATGTTTTGAGTCTTCCAAAAAAGCATTCAAGCAGAGGAAAGGAAGTATATAGATTTTATGTGAATGCCATCTTGAGCATACATAGAGATGTTTTTCCTAACAGTGTATTGCAGTGTATTTAAAGTGTCCGTGGCACTTCCTGGAGTTAATATACACACTTTTTACCTTTGGAGACCTGGGTTCCAATATTGGATATTTGGGAGGAGGGGAGAAAATCAACTTTGATGTTACAGACTGTCTGTGTGTAGAGTAATTGGGAGTTTCACACCAAAGGATTTTCAAAATCAAACCCTTACTGTGCTGTTCTTAAACTATTTCATATCACAAAAAAACATAAAATGAGAAATTTTACCACTCACTTTCAAATAGCTGTGAAGAGCTGCGTTCAGTAAACTCAGCTAATGCTGTCTAATGCTATCTTTTGGCATGCTCCTAGGTTAATTTTAGAAAAGCTCAAAAACAGAAAAAGAAGCCCCATCATCTTGTGAATACACAACATCTTCCACTTTACTCAAATGCTGTGTGATGTAATATGTTAGTGTGGCACAGAGTTATAATATGTGATGTCACATGTAGGGGAAAATCATTTTTCCATTTTCGAGTGAATAGAATCCTTGTAAAGAAGTTCCAGTTTCAGTGCGATGAGGTCATTCCATTTCTCCACATCCCCCCCCCCCCTCAAGTTTTATTAACCATATAAAATGGGAGCAGTGATGAAGATTGGACAGGCAAGGTTCCAGGATGACTACAAGTGTCTGATTGCTACCCAAGCTCAGAATCATCAAGTTCAGGGTGATGTTATTTAGCCCTTTTATGCTGCATTATTTGGAATTGGACATCAGGGGATACTTGGAAGATTTGAGCTCGTATCAATCACTAGGGCTCATAAATAAACTCAGGTTTTAAAAATGACCAATAGAATCATAGATTCATAGATGCTAGGGTTGGAAGGTGCCTCAACAGATCATCGAGTGTGACGTCCTGCCCTGGGCAGAAAGAGTGCTGGGGTCAGATGACCTCAGCCACATGGCTATCCAGCCTTCTCTTAAAGACCCCTAAGGTAGGGGACAGCGCCACCTCCCTTGGAAGCCCATTCCAAATTCTGGCCAGTGTCCACCCTTACTGTGAAGAAGTTCTTCCTGATGTCCAGCCTAAATCTGCTCTCTGTCAGTTTGTGACCATTGTTCCTTGTTACCTCAAGAGGTGCCCTGGTGAACAGAGTATCTCTGGTTCCTTGCTGTGCCCCCCAATGAATTTGTAGGTGGCCACAAGATCACCTGTCAGCCTTCTCTTGTGGAGGCTGGAGAGATCCAGGTCCCTTAGTTTCTTCTTATAGGGCTTGGCCTGCAAACCCTTAACCATATGAGTGGCCCTCGTCTGGACCCTCTTGAGGTTATCCACATCCTTTTTAAAGTATGGCATCCAAAACTGGATGCAGTATGCCAACTGCAATCTCACCAGTGCCACATAGCGGGGAAGTATCAGCTCCTTGGTTCTATTTGTCATGCATCTGCTAATGCATGATAAAGTGCGGTTAGCTTTGCTGATGATTTTGTCACACTGATGTCTCATGTTCATCTTGGACTCCACTGTGACTCCGAGATTCTTTTCCTCTTCTGTGCTGCTGAGAGGGTCATTTCCCAGCCAGTAAGTGTGCTGGATATTTTTATGCTCTAGGTGCAGCACTTTGCATTTGTTCTTGTTGAACTGCATCCTATTGTGTTCTGCCCAGTTTTCCAACCTGTCCAGATCTGTCTGCAATCATTCCCTACCCTCCAGTGCATTCACTTCACCCCACAATTTAGTATCATCTGCAGACTTGAACAGAGTACACTTCATGCCCACATCCAATTCACTGATGAAGACATTGAAGTGTACAGGGCCAAGGACCGAACCCTGTGGGACCACACTGCCCACATCCTTCCAGGTCAATACTAACCCATCCACCACCCCACTTGAGCACGACCCCCAAGCCAATTTGCCACCCACTGGACTGTGTAAGTCACTGCCTCTTAAGTTATTTATGAGAATGGGATGAAATACTGTATCAAAGGCATTCCTAAAAGCCAAGTAAACAACATCCACCTCGACTCCTGCATCCAAATGTTTTGTGACCTGGTCATAAAAAGAAACCAGATTGGTCAGGCATGCTGACCTGCTACAAATCTATGCTGGTTGCCCTGCTGCATTACTTTTCTGGACTCTCACAAATATGATTATTAATAATTTTTTCAAAGACTTTTCCAAGGATAGAGCTGAGACTAACTGGCCTATAATTACTCAGATCCTCCTTCCTCCCGTTCTTGAAAATAGGGACTACATTGGCCCTTTTCCAGCCCTCTGGGACCTGACCCGAGTACCACAAATCATGCAAAATAAATATTTTTGATAAAAATAATGCTAATAAAAATGACAACAGAAAGTCAGGGGGAAATGTGCTGCAAACATTACCCTATGAACACTATTTCTTTGACTGGTCTTGTTCCTCCAATTTCATTTAAGAGGCCTCCGTTGTTTTCTGAAATATATTCTCATTTGGCAAACAGATAATGTATTCTTTAAACAGATCTAATCCCACATCAAGTCTGTTTGTTATTGCATTTTGTCTTTTGATGCACTTGAATGTTATTCTTTTGACAGGCTTATTTCATTCTATGCTATTTATTTCAAAGGGCTTCATTGCATTTCTTAGGTTAGATACATGAAAATGGCTTCTTTCTTTAACAAGTCTCTCACTCTCTCTTTGAAAAGTTATTTTTAAGTACAGGCTCTCATGTCACTATAATTAAATGTTAATAACACCAGTGCTTATGTTGCTGGAAAATATTCCTCATGGGGAAAGGAAATCAGACCTCTCAACATTCAGATGCCCATCTGACTAGTGTGTTCAAATTCTACTCAAATTTTGTATTTAGAATAACTGAATGGAATTAAAATATGCAGTGTGGACGAAGTCCTAGCTTAATGATCTAACCTTTATTTATTGGAGAATTCAGTTTAAATGTGGGAACTTGGTTATACATGAAATGAATTTAGTAGTTTCAGTGCTTAAAAGACAACATTCCATTATACTAGGCTGCTTATACTGCTTAATATGGCTGATAATCTCTGAGTGATAACCCCTACTTCCCCCACAGTTTCATAGTTTCATAGTTAGTAGGGTCAGAAGGGACCTGAGCAGATCATCAAGTCCGACCCCCTGCCATGGCAGGAAAGAGTACTAGGGTCAAACAACCCCAGCAAGGTGTTCATGTAGCCTCCTCTTAAAGACCCCCAGGGTAGGAGCCTCCCTCTGCCTCCCCACCTGGAATAGCCTGGAGATGTAAGAAATATATAGGAAGTACAGTACTTAGGGATAGACTTTTTAATGTATTTGGCAGAAGTATTTTGAAGACACTAGCTCTCGCCTCAATGATGCAATCCTTCCTCACACAACTGGCTGATTACAGAGAGGATGGCCATGGGCTTTTCTCTGTGGCGGTAGGAGACAGGACAAAGAGCAATGGCCTTGAGCTGCAGCAGGAGAAATTTAGGTTGGAGATTAGAAGGAACATTCTGACTATGAGGGTGGTCAAGCCTTGGAACAGGCTACTATGAAGTTGTAGATCTTCATCCCTGTAAATTTTAAAGAGCAAGTTGGACAGACACTTGACTGAGATGGTTTAGTCAGGGATGATCCTGTCTTGAGCAGGGAGCTGGACTAGATGACCTCATGAGGCCCCTTCCAGCCCTACTTTCTGATGATACTATGAATAGCCAGGGGTATTCGTTGGACCAATACCCCAAGGAATGCCATAATTTTGGAACTTGCTATGATAGTCTCTCTACCAAAAAATACTGAAAGGATGTGAAAGGCAGCAGAGTAGAACTGATTAGAATCATGCAAGCTGAATTCTCGTAAAATAAAAAGTGGTGGGATGAATGAAGAAGAAGGATGACAATAAGGTTTCAAAGTCAGAAAGGAAATTGGAAGCCAAACCAGGGTAGAGTATTGGCAGGGGCGTGGGACATACTGTATAACAGCTTATGCTTCAAAACTAGGAGAGAAGGAGAGGAGTAAGAGGGAAGGAGAGTTGTCCAATACCATTTTATAGTCTTTTGGGTGAAGCCTGGAAGAGCGAGTGTGAGCAAAGGTAAGAGCAGTTGCAGTTGAAGAACAGAAAGAGAGTACCAAGTTGCAGAGGTTAAAGCTGTGAATTGCAGTGTCATGTGTTCATAATTCTCATATTCTCCCACTAGTGTATGGGGTTGTGAGTTTTCTGCATCTTTTCCCTATAGATGGAAATTATTTTGTTGGGTTTGCATGTATTGATTGTTGTTCATCCTCCCTAGATTTCTTTAAAAGGTTTTGATTAATACATTATCATTGCTGATGTCCTTAAACAGCACTTCCAAAGGCATGACAAACCCAAGGCTATTATTAATACATCATGCCTCAGTTTCCTTAAATAGTTTTCTCAATGAGCCCACATTCAGAAATGGACAGGATTATTATTAATACATTAAGGTTCTCAATTTCCTTCAGGGATACCATCCTATAGTGGCAATAAAATGTTTATAAATGTTACGAGAGAGGTAAGTGTGCAATAGGCCATTACATACTCTTGGGGCTTATCCAGATGAGCCCGCATGTGCCTCTTGCTGCACCTTAAAGCTGTTTAGACGTGGCAAGTGGCACCCTGGGAACAAAAGAAAATGTTCCCTGCACTGCATATTTGCAGTACAAGCTCAAATTTTGGTACCTGGATATCCAGGTATATATATATATATTTTACAAAAAAAAAAAAACAACACAGAAAAAAAGCAGGGCAGGGCATGGTACAGGACCATACCCTGAGGCAATCAGAGGCTTGGGTCCTCCAAACAGATGCTCTGGTAGCCAGCCAAAGCATCTCTATGGCTGCTTCTTGTCCTCATACTGCAGACCGCTCAAGCTTGTTCAGGGCAAGGAGTGGTGCAGGCTACAGGGACCTGGACCTGGGCTCCATCCCAAGGTTAGTAGAGACTGGGGTGGAGAGGACTGAAGCTGGGGCTGTGTGGATGCGGGGGTGTGGCACGGGTGTGCTGGGGGTGGGTCG